GGCATAGACTTCCAAGGGAGGTTGTGGAATCCCTGTCATTGGAGGTTTTTAAGAACAGGTTGGAGAAACATCTGTCAAGGATGGTCTATACTTGGTCCTGCCTGAATGCAGGGGGCCAGGCTAGATGACCTCTTGAGGTCCCTTCAAGTCCTACATTTCTATGATTTTCTGACTGTCAGAGAGTGGGAGCAAGCAGCTAGTCAGAGGGGAGAGAATGTCTTGAGAGTTGTTAATACACAAAAAAACTATTTGGATGCTGCTGACATCATCAGAGTTCAGGGGTCCTGGAACAATTTGTATAGTGGGGGTGCTGAGACCCATTGCACCAAACTAAACCCTATATACAGGGCCGGCTCCAGGCACCAGCTTAACAAGCAGGTGCTTGGGGCGGCCACTCCGGAGGGGGGCGGCACATCCAGATATTCGGTGGCAATTTGGCAGAGGGTCCCTCACTCCAGCTCGGAGTGAAGGACCTCCCGCCGAATTGCCGCCGCAGATCGCGATTGCGGCTTTTTAGGGGCGGGGAGGGGGGCGGGGGAGGGGAGCTGCTTGGGGTGGCAAAAACCCTGGAGCCGGCCCTGCCTGTATATAATGGAAACTACTTCAAATCAGGGGGTGCAGCAGCCCCTAGTTCCAGCACCTATTTCAGAGTCTGCAAGTGATGTCCTTTATTGTTCTGGCTGGTTCTTTGTAGCTGTTTTTATCACTGAGCTAATGTGGCTGGAGTGGAGAGAGGGATGGGGCCACATGAGTCTTGGGGCCCCCACTATCCAATTCTGGTTCTGAGGATACTGTGGAAGGGTAAACACAACTGGGTCTTAGCTTCCCCCTGCACCATTGGTATAGCTGTATCTGCTTCAGCATGAATGCACTCCTACTAAGATTGATTTATATGTGAAGGCTGAAATGAGTTGTTGATGCAAATGAGAGACATGTCTCGGTAAGGATTGGCCCCTAATGTCAACATTGCAAAAGTAACCATCACATCTGGCACCTATTGGGATCTTTGCTGGCAGTGTCACTGACCAGGCCAATGAAGAAAACAATACGAATTGCACTTGCCTCTAAATGTGGTCTTTGTCAGTGCTGAAGTATGTTGAAGGCACATTGTGGGAGAAATGTATACTACTGCAGAATGTGCTGCACATTTATATGTGCTGTGGCTGTTTTTGTAGATAACTACACAGGGGTTGGAAGCAGACTATGGGACCTATTTTGTTCCCATGTCAGTGAAGGGTTAAATTCACTGACTCCAACAGGAGCAGGATATGGCACTAAATTGCTTTTACTAGGCCCAATCTTGCAGTCCTTAATTAAATGAGTCTTCCACCTACTTGAAGCAGATAATTCAAATCATTAGTTTACAAGTTTAGTTAATATTAAATTGGATATACATAACTAAAAGTAATTAATTGACCCAAGGTTTCACTGGCAATGTTTCTGATCCTGCAGACACTTAAACTCTTTGTGCTGTTGAATACTCCCGCTGAACTGAGTAGGAGTCCTCAACTGCATGAAGTTACCCTCATACACACAGTTACATGCACGATTGAAACCTAAATCTTAATCCCATGTTCAACATGCTGCATCATTCGATATAGGGCTTGAGCTTTCTATTTCTGCTTCCAAAACTTCCATTGAAGTTAGTGGGGCGTCTGGATACTTACGGATTTCAGACTTGTGCCATTATATGTATCTTAAACAAATGTAAGATGCATTGATAGTTAGGAATATTAACAAAAGTGTAGTCAGTGCTCAAACATTTTTTCCGTTAGTTTATAATGGAAGTTTTGCCTAAGCATAGCCTGCAGGTGCTGGCATTTGTGTTTGGAGACTTTGAATGACTTTAGGTTACTCCACAGCCTGAACAGCATGTTGACAAACTCCAAAAAGGTCTTCATTTATTATGATGAAAGGAACAAAAGGATATGTTGGGTGTCTCATTAGTTATCTAATGTTCATGTGGCCTGCCAAGATAAATACAGAGAGTTAGGACAAAATCAGGAGCACTTTCTAGTCACTAAAGTAATTAGCAACAAAGTCCTGTGGCACCTTAGACTAACAGACGTATTGGAGTATAAGCTTTTGTGGGTGAATACCCACTTCATCGGATGGTAGCTTTTTACAGATCCAGACTAACACAGCTACCCCTCTGATAATTAAAGTAATTAGTTGAACATGTGTTTCTCCTAAATATGTTGCTCATGGTCTTAAAAATATTGTGTTTTATTTTGGAAGATGTTTTTATTGTTTAACTTCATAGAAAGGATTACTACTTAGTATTGTCATTGAAGCAAAGGTAGCACTTGCATTAGCAAAATAGGAGGACTGTCTGCATAGGTTCAATGGTTCATTTTTAAAAAGATTAAACATACTTTGGAAACTTGAATGATCAATATTTTATTGCATGCTTATTTCATTTTAAATTTCTGCATGCTTTTAAACTGGCTTCAAGCCAGTTAGGTTGTATCATCTGCTTGCCAACCAAAGGGAAGAGAAACATGAACAAAAATACCTTACATCAAGGAGAGCCTGTATGAATTGCCACTTGTTTTTAACAGTTGTTAAAGCCAGCATAATGAGCTACTGATGCTTTTTCTATTGAGGAAGTTGTGGAGAAACAATTTAAATGTGATATTTAATATTTAGGTGCATGCTATCTGATATTAGACTTAAACCAGAACAGTAAGAGACTGAAAGTACCAAATAATGAAGTCCTAATTGCCCACAGGTCAAAGACAGCTCATGAAGATTTTAAACTGCAGACTCTTCAAGTTTTGCTCACAGGTCCTAAACTGACATGGAGAGACCACCCTCTAGTGGGCAGACAGAGTATTTCACTCTCTAGTCACTTATTTCTATGCTTTACAGGAAGAAAAATTATGCATGCTGCAGCCCAATATCTGGAAGTGTTTGTAATAAGCATGAAATTGAATTGAAGTGAGATAAGGTAGGCCTTTTCTCACTTAACACCTTCACCACTCCTGGGGATAGCTTTCACTTAGCTTTGCTTATGCTAAATGTGAGTTTTCTAAACATGAGGCAGAGGCAGTGAGACACCAGGTCCCCTTGTGCAATCTTGGTGCTTCATTTTATTTTATGTGCAATAACCTTTACATATCCAAAAAAAAAAAGCGTATTTTGATAAATATGTTCCAACTCTTTCCAGCAGCAGATTCTTTAAGCATTTTCATGAGTTAGTCAAGATGTCTGTGGAATTTTTTTTTAACCAAAGGATATTGCCTTTGCTAGTTGGTTATCAAAATTCCCCTTGAAAAAAAATTCCATTTAATATAAAATACATATCTGGAATAATTTGATTTCACTGTATCTCTCAGATACCTCTCCTTTGAGAGAATAAAGAACAACATACATTTTGCCTCTTGGATACCTAATTATCCTGCTCAGGCTTACATTTGTTCTTCCTGTCTGGAGTTCCAGCACTGTTTGGTCTATTTATTTCTTGGCACATCTCTGCTCCAGGGACAGATGATAATAGCTTATTCTGTTCCCTGTGTCTTTCACCTCTGAACACTTATTTGTATATGCTATCAACTGATGTCAACTATAATGGGATGAATATATATAAAATGCATAGTCTCCCTAGTAAATGTTAAAATGTTGCCTAAACACTAACACTGGTAGCTTCCATTCTGCAGATCATTTAAGGTGGTTTGATATTTCCAAACACAGCCCTACTGCGAGTCATTCAATGGAATGTGCTAATGAACGGGGTAGACATTAGAATAAAAGCGGTGTGTTGTCAGTAATTTGGATGTGTAAAGTATTTAAAACCAATTCTTAAAGAGCATGCAGTTAAATCAGTGACTCTGGGATTTAGATGGACAATGTCTTCTTTCTTGGGCAACGTGGTGAAATCCAAAGTAAAACTGGATCTAGGATTTAGCTTCCACTTTTTTTCTAATGAAATTCTAAAGATTATTTTCCATTAGGAGTTCAAATACTTCTTGCCTGCATTAGTCTCCCAGTCTAAATCGCTTGTGCGCTGTGGAAGTCGATTGCTTTTCCACCCTTCCCTCATTGCACAGGCATCTGGCCATGAGGATCTTGGTCTTGCACAATCCGCTTCCTTTTTCTTCCTGTTTTATATTGTGCTTCGGTGTTTTTATCGGGGGTTTAAAAATAACGTACGCTGTCTTTCTGCCTACCCTTTTCAAAAGAGTAGATCAATTTAGGGCCCGCTCCCTGCAATCTTTACTCGCGGGAGCAATTGCTGCTACACCAGGGCCTCGTTCCAGTGAAATCATGACGGGAAATAAACCCATGGGGTGTATTTTGTGTATGTTGGAGCCAGCTCTGAGTGCCACCACTACGAACAATTCTGCATTCTCTTTTGTATTAAAAAAAAATAAGTCGAACTGATTTCAGTGAAATCAAGCGTCACGGAGCAAACCCCGGCAGTACAACATCAAAGGGGAGAGTGTGGGGGGAAGATCTGTGTGTATCCTGGTATCGAATGGAATATACCGTGTTTCCTTGCTGTAGACAAAGTCCTGCAATGAAAAGAAGAGGCCGGGTGAAAGGCTCCGGAGGGCATGTGTCATACACATCCACCCGCCACCCCTCTCTGTTAATTTACCCCCCGGAGCGTGGCTGAGAGCTGGCTCTTAGTGGGTTAAAATAGCCTTAGCCTTTTTTTGCCTTTACCCCCGCGTCGTATGGCGCCTTGCTCCCCAGGAGGCAGGTGTCGGGGCAGAGCCAGGGCTCACGCCGCAGGGAACGGGTGCTAGGGCGGGGGATGCCCAGCAGCGAGCAGCTGCGGAAAGTCCTCCCGTGCCGGACTGGGCTGAGCCCTGGGGATCAGGACGAGGAGTAGGGCTGCATGGCCCGGTGCCGGCGCAGGTGGTTGCCCGCCCCCACCCCGCGCAAGGCTCAGCAAGTCGCTGCGCGGGGGCGCCTGAGCGCCCAAAAAGCCGGGAGGGAGGGGAGGGCAGATGGGGGGAGGTGGCGGGCGCATGCGCTCCGCCTGGCCGTGCCATATTGGAATGAGGCGGCGAGCGGAGCGCCGGAGAGCCCGAGCCCCGGCAGCTAGCGGCGCAGGGCTGGAAAAACTCGCCGCAGGTAAGGCGGGCGCCGGCTGAGCCCCCCTGCGGGCAGAGCGGGGCCGGCCGCAGCTGCTGGGCGCGTTTTGCCGGCCGCTTGCGGGCCCCGCCGGCTTTTTCTCGCCTCCCGAAGTTTTGCTGCGGGAGGCGGCCAGGCAGGGCGGCAGGCGCAGCGCAGGGAGGAGGAGGGAGCGGCGAGCGCGGCTCCCGGAGAGATGCGCGGGCTGGAGAGGGGCCGCTGCGGATGCGCCAGCCCCGCGCGCAGCGGGCGGCCCCGCAACTCCCCGCAAAAGTCGCCGTGCGCACGGGCGCGCCGGCCGCAGGGGAGGGGGACTGGGGAGCCGGCTGCCGCTCGAGAGGAGGTGACCGGCTGCGCGCCCCTTGGTGAAGGGAGACCGCGCAGCGGGGGCGGCTGCCGCTTGCCAAAGTTCCCCCTGGTGGCCGGGGCTGTTCTTGTTCTGTGCCCCGGCCTCGCGCGGGGAGCCTTCCGCGCGGGGAGCCTTCCACGCGGGGGCTGGGTCTCTCCGCTGCTGCTCGGCCACTTTCCCTAAAGCTTTGGCCCTATGTCTGCTCTGCAGACTGGGGGGCGCGGTAGGGGGGGTCAATCCCGCTGGAGGTAATTTCCCCCTCCCTCACTAACTTTGTGCGGCGGTGTATTTTTTAGTTCAGCCTGAACTCAGGTAGTTTGTCCCCCTCCTGCTCATTCCAAATAATTAAGTTAGGTTATTAAAAACGTGAGCTCTCCTAGTTGTCCCACTCCTCCCCCCTCCCCTGACAAAATGGCGTGTGGAAGGGGATCTTTAAACGCGGGGATATTTTGGATACCCCACCCCACCCCTTGAAGAACAGCAGTGCAATATGCCGTGGGGCCGCGCTATTCATGTGTCTTCCAGTCGGCTAGTGCATCCCTCCCGGGCTGAGACGAGTTCCACGGGGATCAGTGGGCACTGCCCCATTCCGTGAATTGGCCTTTAAATCACTGACACGGAGGTCACTGCTTTTATTCTGTGGTGAGAGCGAGAGAAGCCACATCTGCAGATTCCAGTTGTTTTGGTAAATGTTGTTTCAATTGCAGAGTTGTATGAGGCCTCCCCTCCCCCCAGAATGTAGGAACTGCTGGCAGCTCCCTCAGGACTTTGCACTGTGTTTAAAAACAATACTGCTCTTACTGCCTTCCCATTTTATATTTTGCTGCGCCTCCCCAGCCCCGTTTTCTTTCACTAATGGGATGTGCTCAAGAAAACGGGATTTTTGTTTCTTTAGGAGTTCATCTGCCTTGGTAGCTTATTCTACCCCTGAAGTGGTAAATCCTTCATTAGTGATACTAGCAGTTGGTTGCTGTGGAGATTATGATGATGCCATAGGACTCAACTTCACTATAGGTGTATAAGATAGAGGGGAAACAAAAGTAAACTGCAGAGAAGAAAATGTGACACAAGCACAATTGTTCCTAAATGGGAAAGATTCTGAAAGTTTTCCATAGACATCAGCAGCATTTATCTCTCCGCTTCCCCCGGCCCCCTCAAAAAAAAAATTCTTGGCTGGGGTATGGGAAGGAGTCTAGGGTAGAAATAGGGCAAGGAAAAGAAAAACAAGCTGGCAGTTACTGTGAGTTTCTAACAAGGTGGGCTATTAATATCCCACAAGGCCTTCCTTTAGCCTACATAATAGGCCAGGGTGATGGCTGTTTAATGGTCCCAGGTGGGCTTTAGTGGGATGATTACATGTACTTTGGAGAAACTTGTTGCCATCATAAAAGATGATTAAAAACAGTAACATTCATGTCTGATAGTTTTACCCACTTTGACAGTAGAATTCTAATGTAAGATGTTTTAGTGGTTTTTGTAGTGAAGAAAAAAGGCCTACATTGCTACTTCTCTTATGTCAGTTCTCTCCGGGGAGCTTGTTGCTGTCAGTAGCCTGGGAGGTTACCATAGTGAACATTTTAGTAATCCACAATGTAAGGTGCATGATTCTGAAATCACTGGAAAAACTAAGATCTATCTTGCAAGCTATAAAGATAGCGTTGTATTGCAACAAACTGTAGATTTCTGGTGAATGTGGATTAGTTGGTTAGCAGTTGGCTTCTAATGACGAAGAATAAAAGTTTATAAACTCTCCAGAGCACGGAATATCACTTATTGCTTGTATAGCACCTAGTACAATGGAGCCCTGACTTAGTTAAGGCCTATAGTGTTACTGCAATATAATCATTCTTTGAAGTAAAGTAAATCAATGTAAGATGGCAGTAAGCTAATAAATTGTGAATATTTTGAGGGATTCACTTATAGTTGGTGTTCTAGCCATAATCTTTACAATTTAAAATGTTAAATATGCATTATAAAATGATCTGCTACAGGAACACATCTGTTTGTCTCTTTCCTTAATTCCAGTTTGCTTAGGTTTTGCAAAATAATTGCATTTTACTGTGATTGGTTTCTTGCCACTCTGGTTGGACAATGAGAATGTGATCTGTCTCTTCCAGCACCATTAATAGTGGAGTAATAGGAAGAGATTCTTGAATGAGTTATGGAACAACTTAGACTTCAGTGGTTGTAAAACTGAAAGAGCTCACTTCAAACACCTTTTATGGTTGGTGTTGCTTTAAAATGAAAGGGGGGGGGGAGAATGCAGTTTACTAATTTTTAGTTTACTTTTTGCTGAGTGACTTAATTTCACTTGGCAGAACGGTGAAGTGTTCCATGGCCCTAAAGCTGGTGCACAGATTTCACCACAGGAAAAATACTGCACAGAATAAATAACAGAGCTAGAGCGAGTGACTTAATAATTATTGATCCATCACTTTTTTTTTCTTTTATGCTTCTTCATTGACTTCCTACTGTTGAATTATCTTATCTGATTCTTTAACTGAACAATTGTTTAGTAGACTGCTGATTACAGCATGGGGAAAATAGAGTGTAAGGAAACAAGCTAGCACCTGACAGTATTCTTGGTTGGATGCTCTGATTTTTATATTCTCTGCACCTTTTCAGTACCTTGCATCTGAGGTTTTCAAAGGGCTTTACAAAGAATTGATCCTCACAATTGTTGCCAATCAAGGATTTTGTTAATATTTTACAGATAGTTTTTGGCGGTGGTGTGTTCCTCAGCAAACCAGTGGCAGATCTAAGAATAGCACCCTGTCCTTTTGATTTTCTGTCCCTGTGCCCTTCCATATACTCCTTTTCCAAATCCATACTGTTACACTCTTGCAAGTCACTTGTAACTTCACAGCACTGCTTCTGTGTACTAAGTTCTACCATAGTAATATGCTGCTATGATGCGGACATTGATACTGTCACCTTCTGGTAGCCAGACATAAGTAACCAGACTTAAAGTAATGCAGTTCAAAGGATTGGGAGCTTATTTACATGAGCATGTTCTTACTGAAGGGAGTAAATTAAACTTACTAAAATGTGCTGTAAATGCAGGGAAAATTGAACATGGGGAAAGTATTATGTGAGGTCATATTAGAAGTTCCTTCTCACACATCTAAACATCAATCTTACTACGTAACTGAAATTCTTGTCATATGTGATCTTCCTGTATGAATTAGCACTGCTAACAATAATTTTAACACTACAGAAGAATAGGTAGATTGTCCTGTTATCCTTCAAATTTATTGTTTACAACCTGAAAAGGGAAATGACCACTAGGTAGTTTTCTTTTCAGGCGCATATTTTCATAGTAAGATAACATAAGTTAATTATGTATGATACAGAGTAAGAGAAGTTAAAATTACAGACGTTTTATGGGTTATGAGGAAGTGAAGTGTTTAGACACTGTACATCTAATGTACCTACGTGGAATAGCAAACAGGGATACTACTTGATGTCTAATGGATTTTAAATATTTGCCTGGTTGTGGTTTGGAGCAGTAGCATGTTTCTGTGCTAGACTGGTGGTGAATTTCAGTTTCTTCTGTTTATTTTGTTTTTCCCCCAGTGCTGCTGGAATATGGTTGTAAAGTTAGAGAGGGACTCAACTAGTTTTAGGCCCCCAATTTAGATGTGACAGGCTTTTGTTTGTTTTCAAGGATTTTTACAAAATACAATAGATCTTAATCGAAACAGGCTTTAAGTAAAAATATACATTTTCCTGACTCTTTCTGAAGACTAACATTGTGTTAATAGGTAGGATCCTAAAAGTGAAACTCATTAGTCCACTTTTTCCAAACTGAGTAAAGGTGAAAAGAAAATTAAATTTAAAAAATGTTAATTTTTAATAATCTCATTTTAGTAACAAGCAAAGATGTGCTTTTTAAACTGAGTTTTGTATGACTGACGACTTAACAATCCATAAGATACTCTATTCTCACTAATATGAGGCAAATATTGTAAAAATGTACAAAAGAGGTATCAAAGTGTAACTTCCATGCTTTACAGCTAAGTGAGCAATGTGGGTTACAACAGCACAAAATATATAAAGTCTGTACTGTTCACTTCGCATTAAAATGGTGTGTAAGATGCATGTTGATCCATAAAACTGTCAGCCAAAAAGGGAGGGAAAATCAACGCACTTGCAGAGCAAAAGAGAAATCAATGTTCTCAAAGTACTTTAAAAAAAAAAAAAAAACAAGCTCAACTTGTGATGAGTGAGGTCATAGTTCTAAAACTTATTCTGAAGCTCTCAAAGAAATATCTCTCCTGAAGTACATGACATTGAGTACTGCTGTAGGAATACTACAGTGCATTCTTAATATGGTATAATTTATGGGAACCCACTATTTAAAAATTTAGAAAGTGACTTTCTTTTAGACAGTGTGATCTGAGTATAAGTTAGAACCAGAATCTCCTGAATTTTAATTTCACCTCTAGCAATGACTCTCTATGTGGCACTGTGAAGCTTCTTATTTCCTGTCTGTTTCAACATATGTAATATTAGGGATATGCTCATATGGTTAATGTGTGGATTAGTGTTTGTAAAACACTTTGAAGATGTAAAGTGCAGTATAAGTGCTAAGTGGTGGTAGCTTTATACTTCACTATTATTTTTTTTCACTACTGAAGTAACGCCTAGA